CCCCAAAACCCCAAAACCCCAAAACCCCAAAACCCCACATATATAAATTAGAATTGAATTTGGAAAAACTTAATTAAATCAAGATTATAATTATTATTGATTTGCAGTATAATATTTTATTAACTTGTTTAATCATGACATAAAATTATGGTCCAATATAAATTGCATAGCTCATTCTGGCATTTATTAGTGTACTACTGGCTATATTTGTGTTCTTCAGCTATGTAAAATTCAAAAATACGAAAAAGAATCGTTGTAAGTGATGCTTGTATTAATGATATAGATGGGTTAATATTGTTGGGACTTATTACTTTAGACATAATTATAACTCTGCATTTTATCTTTTCAATATTTCTTGAGAATGGCCAGATCAACAGTTTTATCTGCTAATTCAATGGCTATCTCACTGCATCTACTTTTGTTGCTAGCATCTCTTACAACATTTCACTGTCCCATTGCATATTAAGAACATTACCCTCAGACCAATGTAAGAGTCAGAAGTCTGGCTGGATCTACCATTTATTCTCATTATCAGCTGGTTTTGTCTATATTAGCTTAGCTGCTTTGTTTGATGACATTGGGGAAGGTGTAATGATAACTTGCGCAATGGGTTACGGAACTAGCATTGAGTAAGAATAACTTAAAATCTAAATTTTAGATTAATACAAGGACCATTACTCATTTACGCTAACATTTACACCTTGTATTCGATTGGAATGTTGATTTGGTAATTCAAAGTAGAAGGAGGTAATATGACTAGCTAGGTAAAAACACTCTACTTTGGCCATATTTGCAACATGCTTGTCTTTAACATTACTTGGGTTCCAAGGTAAGTATCTTTTTCTTTATGTTTATAAGTGGATATGCACATTTGCTGACTTTTGTTATGCAAATGAATAAGAGCACTGTAAGCATAGACTTCATTTTGGTATTTTAATTGATATTATTTCTCACTGTTCTTCTAGTATTTAAGAATAGCGATGATGTCTGTTGGAATGATGAATTCCATAATTCGTATCACTGCAGATCCTTATCTTAGATCTAAACTCTACATTTATTTTTGTGTCAGTGATAAGCAGACTACTTAGTAGGAATCAAGAGAGATAATGATAAGAACTGGAAATCGGATTCTTATGGATACTACATTCTCAGGAAACATAAGAGAAACTGAGGATCTCACTGAAGATAGGAATAATTTATCGGTATCTCAAGAATATAATCATAGCTCTGATGATGACAGAATAAAAATGATGGATTTAATGGCTAGAGGTGGAGATAGCAGTATTTTAGAATAACCAAGTTAGGTGCACCTTGAGCATTTGCCCACATTTGTGCTACTTCAAGAAAACAACATAGTTGAAAATCTGAAAAACAGGTATGCAGCAATGGTTTATCATTTTGATAAAACCAGTGAAGAGGAAATAGCTCGAATTAATAGAAAGTCCCAAACTCACAAAAATAACAGGAAACTATCTCGATAAATAAAAATAAATGACTTAAAAGGAGGGAGTGCATAGTTTTCATAAAAACAAAGAGATAAAAATAAGATATCAAGATCCTTTCACGCAACTTCCATCAAACAATTTTAGCAGTAATAGGAAGTAAATATATTCAAGTATAAGATCGAAGAATATCAATCCAAGATATTCAGTCAAATCAGAAGACAATTTGGAGTCTTAAATAATTAGATAATTTATTCATTCAATCCAGAGGAAAACATGGAAATATTCAGGAGAGTACTCAATGAGGAGCAAGCTGGTAGAAGTGGGAAGAAGGTTTTCAAGACTCATGATAAGGCATTTATACTGAAGGATATCAATAGTATTGAGAAATATGAATTACTAGACTTGGCAAAGTCTTACTCAGATCATATTTTCAAAAACGAAGACACACTGTTAGCAAGAATTCTAGGAATGTTTTCATTCAAAGTATAGAATTAGAAGAAGCAGTACTTTATACTCATGTAAAATTTGGATTACTTGCCTTCCAATAAAGTCATATTCAGATATGATCTAAAATTCTCAGAAGTAAATAGACAGAAAATAGTATCTGAGTAAATTCTCAACACAGTAATAGACATTTTAATCAATCGACACTAAAATATAAAAGAAATTATCAATCTCAAATCTTATAGTCTACCTCAGTTGATATGTACTGATGGCGAAGAGATTGAAATGAAAACTGAAATAAGCCATGTAAACATTATGGAAAATTTTAACAATAAAGCTGATTAGCAGTCGCTTGATGATTACAAACCGAATCAGAAGAAATTAAATATTTTCAAACATAACACACTTCACATAAAGGAAAATAGCCTCAGATAAGTATTTTTTAGCTAATCTCCGTAAATTGCATCAGTGTCAAAGCATAAAAGTCCAGTGAGTCAATTAGAATCATTATAGCTAAACAGTAGTGCAATAGTTTACTCTCATAGATAAAAAGATTCTATTTACAGTAGCAGATAAGATGCTAATTCCTCTTCTCATCATCAGCAAACTAATAATATCAATAATCATAACAGTTCTAATACAATCACTTTAACCTTAGCCTAGGAAAATCAGCTGCTTGATGCTCTTAAACTGCTGAAGGACATTGACTTCCAGAACATGCATAAACAGATAATACTTAGAAATAAGAGCTTGCTTAATCTTCAACTGTTTTTGCAATAAATACAAAGGGATGTCCTATATTTAAGCGATCAAAATATCATGGATTACTCTTTACTCCTGATTATTGCAAAAAATGATAGGAAAGTTAAGAATTTGATTAGGTAAAACTAGCTTAAAAATAGATTTGTTTTCGTCACTTAGAATAAGAACTATGTAGTTCTTGTGGGACTTATAGATTATCTACAGATATTCAATTTTCAAAGAGTTATTTAGGGATAAGCCTAGAAAATATGGAGTTACTTGAAGTCTAAATCATTGAAGCAGATATCTTGTGTAGAACCAATTGCATATTAGGAGAGATTTTTGAAAGGAGTTACCAAAATCTTTCGGATTGATTCAAATGAAGAGAACTCTTAGTGATATAAATGCCAATTCAATTAAAATATTTGAGAACTGAGAGGGAAAAAATTGTAAATATTTCTATGAATAAACTATCAGGGATAAAGTGATTTCATATGCTATCTAATTATCGAATGAGAATTAATTTTAATTAATGAGGAAAAGTTAATTTCATCATATTATAATTTTTAATCCATAATATAAGTAAACTTTAAAATGTTAGCAATATACCAAAGGCGATTTTTTTCAGAAATCGCAAAAGGCAATCTGAAGGGCTCAGCAAAAAAGTGGATGGACAGACATGTCAATGACTAATATGTCAAACAAGCCAATCTAGTATAAAAAATTCAATATTATTTCATCTTTTATAGCTGTCTTACAGGAGCAGAGCAGCTTTTAAATTACTAGAGATGGACAAAAAATATCAATTATTCAGAAAGGGCATGAAGGTAGTTGATGTAGGGGCAGCACCTGGTGGATGGTCATAGATCATAGCATCTCGAGTTGATTCAAAACCTGGTCAAGAAACAGTGGTAGCAGTTGATCTCATAGAAATGGACTCTGTAATTATATCATTAAAGGTTATCTCTTTAAAATAGATCAAAGGAGTATTATTTGTACATGGCGATATTTAGAAGGATGAAATTCAAGAAAAAATATCTGAGAAATTAGATTTTGAAAAAGCAGATGTTGTTTGCTCTGATGCAGTTCCTGATTTAGTAGGAGAGAGATTTGTAGATCATATGAAAGCCATTTATCTAAATTAACTCGTAGTCAATTTTTGTGAATCAAATCTCAAGAAAGGTGGAACTCTGCTTATGAAGACTCTATAAGGACCTAGTGAGCAAGACTTTTTCGATAAAACTAAGTACTATTTTGACAATCTATCAAGAGTAAAGCCATCAGCCTCAAGATCTGAATCTAAAGAGATTTACTTTTTGGGAAAAGGATTTGAAGAGAGTAAAGACCCGAAGATGTAGGAAGTATATAAATTAAAGAAAAAGCTTGAAAGCGCAACTTCTCAAAAGGAAACAAATTTGATATTGAAAGAGCTCAGCTAAGAAATAAGAGATGCTGTTATGAAGGACTCTAAAGAATTTCTTAAAAAAGGAGGAGAATGTAAGAAATTAATGATAATTTAAATGATTGTTTAGTCCCTGATGAATTGAAATCAACAATCAAAAATATACCTGAATTAGAGGGTATTGATCTTTAATAAAAGATGAGCCTAAGAGATAAATAAAAAGCTTAGATGAAGGCTAAATAGGAGGAAGATAAGGAGTTTGAGGATAAAACAGGCATTTTAGATAAGAGTAAACATCTGAGTGTTGATAATTTGATATCTTAATACGAGCATGATATGAGGAAGAATTAGAGAAAAGAGGATAAAATGTATTAAATGGATAAAGAAGGGATAGAATATGATCCTGATGAAATAGTAGTCACTGACGATGAAGAAGAACTAAAGTTTAATTTGAAGAAAGAAGCAGAGAAATATGAAGATGATCCTTATAAACATGAAAACCCTGAAAAGTTTTTTGAGGAGGAATATAAAAGGATTGAGGATAAACTTAAGTCCTATGGAGATTAGGTGACAGGTGAGGATACCTAGTCTGAAACTTTTGATAAAAACAAGGAGCTTGATGAATTCCTTTAAAATTTAGATGAATATGAGAGAATACAGAATAAGTTTACAGACTATAATTAGACTAAGATTGATTAGTAATTGGAATAAGAGGAAAGTCAAGAATATTTAAGAGTAAGCAAAGAATAACAGAAAAGTCGTGATGCTCATTACGAAAGAAGAAAAATCAGATACAATCTTAAGAAAACTGGTGGTGTAAAGCAATAATCACCTGTTTGGGATGATAATGAGGATTGAGTAACCCTTTTTATTGTTTATTAGCTTGAGAAAATAAAGTTCCCTTTGCTAAGATAGATGATTTGATAGAGAATGATTGTGACTAGTAATTAATTAATTTTTATATTCAAAAATTAAAGCTATTAATCTATAAGTTGCTTTCGATTTATTTTCACTGTTCGTCGACTTGTGGTTGATGTCTCATGTTAGTATCATCCCCTTTCCATTGTTTATAGAAGAAAATTGCAAATAATATACCCGAAACGAAAGCCATGAATAAGCAGAAGTAAGAGATATAATTAAAAACAGGGCTAACTGTTGAGTTAACTTCTGCCTCAACATTTCCTAAAGCGTTATATAAACTCTCATCCTCTCTAACTTCTATTGGAATGCTGTCAAAGTGGTACTCTTCACCTGGGTAAGCTCTTTCATAGACTGCAATGCTACCTCCTTGATAACATCCACCTCTGTATTCCCATGTATATGAAGCAGTTTCTGGGTGCTCAGTATAAGCTACCATGAGACATATTCTCTTAACTATGTTATAAAGATAGCATCGTCCTCCTTCTCCGAATTTAAGTGCTCTATACACTCCACCCATTGAACTGCATTCACTTTCTGAACCTGCATCAAACTTTTCTTGGCTCCAAACTTTAAAATCGACTCCAGTTTTAGGGTCTTCAGCTTACCATCTAAACTTAGGATTTATGGCATTTTGGCAAGTTGGGAAACCCTAGACTGTCTTGTACATATCATACATTCTGCGCATATCTCTCTTGATCCATTGCAAATGAATACAGAATGATGCAGCATCTCCAAATGGAACATAGTCAGGGTTATACTTGAGCACTGGGAAATAGAATTAAGTGTCTTAAAACAAGAAATAATGATCACCTAAGTCTACTTTATCTCCCAGTTATTTCTCTTAAGCATTTTACTCATCGGTCCAATGCATCATAATAATACCTTATTCATCATTTTAGGAAGGCATTATTCTAAGACCAACTTATACTTTAGTTAAGGAGTCAGCTATCTTGCTTCTATCTGAGAATACATCACCTCTAACAACTGGAGGAGGGAGATCATTTGAATATTCGTCATCATCATCAGCGTTGTTAGGATTATTTTTAGTCTAAACAACTGGCTCTGGATCAGAATCACTAGTCATATAAGCAAGCACATAGAATACAAATGAGAGTATCAGTAGAACAAAAACTCCAACTAGGAATAGGTAGAGAAGCTTTGAAGATTTTCCACCTCCACCACCATCGAATTTCTTGAACTTGAGGGGATCTTACTCAACAATACGGTCCAATCTTTTCATATTTTGTTTTGAATTATTAATTTAAATTAACTATTAAATAAAATGTTCCTCGGCTATTAAATTTAAAGTTTAACTTAAATTGATTCTGAAGCTGTAAACTTAAAAGTAGTAATATTTTTAGAAATTAATGAAATCTCAAAGCAGCAGTATCACTTTATATCAGTAAAACCAACTCCTCCCCTCATATTTGCAACAATGTCTGCTTCTAAGCGTCTTAGATCCCTCTTTTGATGAGAGACTAGCATAGGGTCACTAAGACTAAGTCAAATATAAACTTTAAGAATAAGAGATAATGCAAAAATAAGATAGTTTGCTTAAATAAATGAGAATTATCAAAAGGACTTAAAAGGAAAATAAGTCTGTGATGTTAAAATCTGAAAACCCCTCAAACTATAACTCTAATTCTTTTCCAAATTAATTACGAGTTCTTTCGAATGAGTGGAAGCTTAGCTCAAAAGAAACTGAAGAATAATCCAAGTAGGCTTAATGGCAAATAGCTTTAAGTTATATGAGGAGGTAGGCGAGAAAATTTATGATTGTAGAGTGCGAAGATAAGACACTTAACGTTTAGCGATAAGAGTCCCCATAAAATCCACAAAATCCCCAGATCAACGAAATTGTCCCTGTGTAAGAAATAGGAGTAGCCCCCCTTAAATGTAATTTAAACTTGCCAATTCCTTCATCAGTATCTGAAAATTCTGATAGAACTGCGGACAAAAACTATCACGCCACAAACAGTTAAAGTAGTAAAAGATCATATATGAGAAAAGTATCTTCTTTTGAAAAGAAATTGTGTCTCAGATTCGACAGGAAAACATGCAAAGTAGAGTCTGTGGAGCATCTCCTAGACAACAGAAGTTAGTGGGCCTTTAACATTAAGGTCCAAAGCTTGGATGGCAAGACTGACCAAGAAGAGTACAAGAAGTCATTGATGAAGTACAAGAGAGATGGGCTGAAATCAATCGCAAGAAATTTGAATGATCTTAGCTAGTAATTGGAAATTTAAAAACCTTCTTAACATCAGAAATCTTCGAAAGCTGTTTAGATACCGACAAACTCTCAGGATGTGAGACCACTCTAAATTAAGGTCAAACTCTGTGAAATTAAGAGAGACTCACTCTCTGACATTCAAGAAGCGAGTTCTCCATATCAGCTTTCAATAGAACACAAAGATGTAAAATACAACTCGAACAGAAATTACATAAAATGCAATACAAGTAAGTAAGATGAAAGAAGTTCCTCATCGTAATGTTTCAGTGATGCAATCTCTTCAAACAGCTAAAACCGTGGAGAGAGAAACATTAAGATCAGCGAGCATTCTATCAAGGGAATCTATAAAAATCTTCGCAAGCTCACTGAGGACATTATAGAAACTAACGATCAGAACTCATAAGGCCACTCACATAATTATAGTTCGATAAGCATTGAAAAAGCCTCTCCATATAATAGCTATGATAAGAAATTCAGGCCCGGCCCTATAAAAGTAAATCACAGAAATCATGACGACCTAATATCATTCTACAGCACATCTGGCAAAAGTCCCAACAAAAAGGTAAAGTTTGCTACTAAGAAAACCATTAGTGTTGACTACGATGTTAAGTATGCGTCTAATGACAGTTAAAGATTGGACAAAATTAATCATCTTAATAGAATAATTCCTAAAATAAGTTGTTCATCAGATCTTACAGTTATCTCCACCAATTAATAGATGCAGTATAAGAATATACCAATCAAACATAAATCAGGAAATCATGTTTAGTCAAATAGTCTATAGGTAAATAAACTTTACGAGTTAACTGTTAACTCAGCTACGCTAATCAGGCAAAATGACTAAATGAACGCTGCATTTGACTTTGATACCAAGGATTCTTTCATGTATGGAGACGATGAGGAATAACTAAGTGAGAATTACAATAATGAAAATAGAAATGCTCACAATAATTATAGAAAATTTACACATGATGATTCAATTAAACAACCACCTATCTTGACCCATAAGATCAATAGGAGAAGCAAAAACGAGGAGAAGTCTCAGGAAAAAATGGCCTCCACCAGGAGATGAAAGTATGAAATCTTGCCACAATTTTTTAGTAATTGTTGACAACCTGATTATATCAGTAGTACATTTATATTTCATAATATAGAAGTGGCTTGAGAGATGGAGTGCTCTAGATTATCTCTTTTTACATATGTTGATTAATATAAGTAATAATAGAGTTGACTAGACCTTCTTCCTCAGAGACTTCAGAGAAGTTATAAGTTTTTATGTTTATATTTAAAGATTCATCAGATAATAATAAATTTATAACACATTTGCATACTTCATTTCCTTTTAATTTACGAAATTATTGATCTCGGGGTTTTGGGGTTTTGGGGTTTTGGGGAGATCGGAAGAGCACACGTC